CGATCGTGCCTCCTTGGGGGTCTACGTTTCTTACCTGCAACGTGTATTTCGTGCAACCCCTACGTCAGGGAAAGGGGGGACGGATGGAAGGCCAGGACAAGGGGGAGGGAGGAGGATGGAGCACGAGAGAGAGTAGCAGAGAGGGGGCCAGGAGCAGAAAACACGTGGCAGAACCAGACAGGCAGATCGGGCGGATAGACCCTGACAGGCGGGTCGGGAAGGCAGGCCCAGGCGGCCAGGTCGAGCAGGCTGGTCGCTGAAGCGTGCGTCCTGCATGAATCGCGAGGAGGTTCCGAGCGATAGCGCGATTCCCAAATCAATCAGCAGGAAATCCGCAGCAAGAGCGTGATTCCTGAGTGTCGGGGGCGCGGCGTCTGATGAGATTCTTGAATAAATTGTGAGGAAGTCCCGCGCAAAAACGCGAATCGGGAATACATTGTGAGGAAGTATCAGGCGGGAGCCGCTGTTGTTGCAAACCGGGGACCAACAACCCAATTCTGAAACCGATGATTTTTCCGCTTGAAAAACCAGGTGCGAGGTCTGGGACGGGCACCTCAATTTAAAAGCACACACACACACAAGATGCCCCAGATGGGGATCAACAACAAATATTATCTACGATTGAGAACTCAACAGCAACAACAACAACAACAACAACAACAACAATTACTAGCACGTGGGGACACTCCGTTCTCACCAGTGCCAGGGTTTTCATAGGAGGCGGGCAATACCCCCACTTTGTGGGGGGGCCGGTTCAAGCTCTACCAAATTTCCAAACGACTCTTCGCCACCACCCACACCCAGCTTCCCGCCCTATGACGTTCGGACACTTCACTTCGTGGCATGCGGACGACCGTGGCTACTATTCAGGGCCCCGCGGCCGACGACGACGGCGTGCGCGCGCGAAGAAAAAACGAATGTGTCCCGCATGGTATTATTTGACAGGGATGATGGCCCTGGCAGGTGCGCAACCGTTGTTGCAGAAGTTCGAAAAAGTTGCTCGCAAAAGCCCGTTTGACAGAAATGTTTAAAAAGTGTTGGGTTTCCTACGAATCCGCAAGAGCGCGCGGGATGAAATTTTGACATTAAAAAAAAAAAAAAAAAAAAAAAAAAAAAAAAAAAAAAAAAAAAAAAAAAAAAAAAAAAAAAAAAAAAAAAAAAAAATGCTTTTTGATGTTTTTATGTTAAAATCGCTACGAAAACTAAGGTTTTGGAAGGATTTCGTCTTGCGCGCGCGAATGTCCACTTTACCTTATTTGTTGCAAGGGATTCTTGAAGTTTGGTTATGTTAGAACAAGAAATGTCCACTTTAGCTTGTTTTTTGCAAAGGAAAGCGGGCCGTAACAAAACAACCGGATCCGGACCAACCCGTTTTGCTTGAGACTTCCTCACGAAAATGATGAAAATGTGGCTGCGGCCTAAGCGCGGCGGGGGGGCCATGCACCAGGGGCCCCAACAATAATTATTCTTTAGAAGTAATAATGTTCAACAGCAGCAACAGCATCAACAGCAGCAGCAGCAGCAACATTCGGTCAGGAGATGTAGCTTATCGTGTCACGCCGCCAGTTCTGGCCCGCCACCCTTCGGCGCGACACGCTAACCACGTCCCAGTCCCCACGCGTCAACGTCCCGAGCCTTTCCTGACCTCCAGCCCCGCCCAGCGGAGCGACACACAATCCGCTTGCAGGGCGTTGCGTGTCGCAGAGGACGCCGCCGCGACGCGCCAAGCAAAAGTTCCCGATTGTACGCCCCAGAACATGAACCCAGAGATCCGACGTATTGATTATTTAAATACGGGGCCCCCGGAAGTCTCGACCCATGCCCCAGGACAGTCTTTTCATCCTGAGTCGTTTTTGTTGGGGCCCCAGGAGGCCGAAAACTACGAGAGCCTGGAGAGACAGAATCCGGAAACCTCGATTAGTTTGTTGCCGCCGCCGTCGCTGGGCCGCGCCGGGAAAGCCCCCCAGAGAGGTTGTCGGACGGGCCTCGGATCGCGATGATTCCGTTCCAGAGCTTGCTGGGAGGCTCTTTCAGAGCCTTCCGGAACGCTCTGAGATTGCCGCGGCGCCCAAAGGTCTTCCAATCCCGCCGATTCTCCCGGATTTCCGATTGCGAGGTCTTTGCCGGCTTTGAAGGGCGACGACGACGACAACGGCGGCGGCGGCGGCGGCGACGACGACGACGCTGATGTGGACCAGAGTCCTCAAGGATGCTTCTTGGGGTCTTTTCGGAAGGCTATCGGGGGCCTCCTGGGGAAGAATTTTGTGGCATCGTGGGGGACTCGGGACCCGCCCTTCCCCCTCCCTCTACCCCTTTGTGGCGGCGCGCACAAGGGGGTAGGGGGAGGGGGAAGGCTTCCTAGGAGGAGGCTGCTTCCAAGAAGGCGCCAGCCTCACATCTGCAGACAAGGCCTGCGCCGTCTAAGAAGCAGGGGTGTTTCTTGGAAGACTTCCCCCCTCCCCCTTCCCCTTGCTGCGCGTGGCCAAATGTAGGCATCTGTACCGCAGAGGGCTTCGGCCGTCTCTTGAAAACAGGCGAGTAGCAGCCCGATCGTCACCCTTGCTGGACGCAGCTTGGGGAGAGATTCTTGCCGCTCGGCCTAACACGCCGAGTGTAGGCTCTGGCCCCCCGATCCACCGGGGAAGGGCTCCATTACACGGAGTTACCTTACAGGGGCCTCCTGACGTTCGGAGGTGAGGGGGAACTAAAGTCCCGACGCTGCTGTGGGTGTTCCACTGATTTGTTGGGCCGGCGGGCAAATGGGTGCGGCGCTGGCGCCCGTGTTCTCTGGCTGGCTACCAGAGGGCCCCATGCAGCTGCGGCGGTTCCGGGCTACGTGAGCCGCCGCTGTTCTTGGGCTCCGGCCTGAGGCTGTATGGGCCGACGGCATGTGAATTCACGCGGGTACTCTGGGCACCCTCCTCGGAGGTGGGCCGCGCGCTCAGGTGTTTTGTACCCGTTTCAAAAAAAAAAAAAAAAAAAAAAAAAAAAACGTGGCCACATGTTTTCCAGTCCGAATGTGTATCCGTGCCCCAGACTAGACCGCATCTCTCTGCGCCATTGTTCCCTGACCTTGCGGAAGGGTTCCCGTTTAGTGTCCCCCTAGGGGCGTCTGGGAGGGTACCCCCCGAAAACTGGCCCCGGCCACAGGCAGAACGCCGACAGAAGTCGGCGGATGACGGCCGTAGACATGCCGTTGCGGCTTCGGGCGACACTAACGGCCGCGGGAGGATCCAAGAAGGCATCCAAGATGGCCTTCGAGAGGCCCAAGAGGGCCCCAGGACGGCCCAAGACAGCTCCAAGACGACCCAGGATGGCCTTCAGACGCCCCGAAAGGCTCCCAAGAGAACTTCCAAGAGGCAAAATTCGTCTAATTCCTTCGGGGAAACGAAAATTCGAGCGTATCCGCATTTTTGAGTTCAACTGCGCCCAAGACGTCCCAAGAGGCCCTCCGTAGCCATTTTGGCTCAAGCCATTTTGGCTCAAGGGGTTGGCCCGAGCGTCTTGAGGTTAGGCCTCGCAATTTTCTCCAGTCGTGCGCCAAAGCACGCGTCTCTCTTTCGCTCCACAACGGTTCGGATTACTCCAGTTGCCCCGATGCCTGCTGGAGTTAAGAAGTCCACCAAGTCGGAGGCCAGATCCCAGTCGCGGCGGCCTGTGAAGAAGAAGGAGCCCAAGTCTGAAGACGACTCTGGATCCCCTGAACGGTTCTCAATGAGTCCTGCAGGCCGCCGTCGCCCAAGCACTGACTCTAGTGAGCGCTTCTCAGATCGCACTCGTACTAGGAGCCGCCGCAGTGATTCTGATAACGAGGACGGCACTGCCCCCGACAAGGCCCCGAGTTGGATGAAGCAGCTGATCGACGGCATTAGAACCTCGAACTACCGCATCGAGGCGATGGAGCAGAACTTCGCGCAGGAGGTGCAGGTTCTTCAGAGCTCTATCTCGAACACGGATAAGAATGTCCAAACACTCAATTTGAAGCTTCAGAATCTCGAGGCGTCCACGTCGGCCACCATCCAGGAGGCGGTTGCTGCAGCGGTTGACACTAAGTTGAAGCGCATTGAAGAAACTCTATGTGAGCTCCAGAGTACGCCTACGCCACGGTCTGAACCTACGGCTCGCCGAGCTCCTGCTGCTAGTGCACGCCCTGAAGGTAAGCATGCAGCCATGGAGCGTGCCCACCGTGTGATAGTGGTCGGCTTCCCTCGGAAGATGATGCAGGCCTCGCTGAGGCGTGCCGCGGATTTGATCCTGGCCTCGGGCGTCCCTCAATCTAGCCCACGCCCGACGGTACGCACATACGACATGACCAAGAAGATCACCTTGGACTTCACGGACTCGTCCAAGGCTACCGACTTTCTGAACATGCTCCAGGCTGGTGCGCCAGTCCAATTCCCCGACCCGATCTACCCACAGCAGATGATCACCCTCCGCGCCAAGAGGGACATGGCACCAGGCACGCGGCTTCTCTTCCTCGCCTTGGGCAAGGTTCGTGGTGTGCTCGCCCCCATTATGCGCCAGGTGGGCAAGGATATGGGGTCCAATGGTCTGGGTGGAGATGTGTATATCCTTCGTTCGGCAGAAGACCCAGTTCAGATCTGCCACATTGACCTTGTGAACAGTGAGTCTGAGCCGCCCAGGGTCGCCATTAACTTTTTCCCTGATCAGTTTGCAGAGCTTCATGCTATTATTGAGCCCCACCTCCAGCGTCTACAGGAGGGGGTGGATCATTTGAATGCATCGCGGCCCTTTTAGAGAGGTATGTGACGGGCCCCAGGCTACGGGCGCGGCGTCTGTGACACTCCCTGAAGAGTGTCACCCTGCCGCGAGCCTGATCGTCGCTCCTCCTAGGCCCTTAGTCAACCCTAGTCCTCTTGGCCGTTGGCCTGAGGTCGTGCCTCTCCTCCCTGTCGGTGCCCTCCCTGCCTGTGACGCCTCGGCTGATCAAGCCTCTGTCTCTGTGGTCAGGACCCGCCCCTTCTTCCCCCCCCTCAGAGATGAAGATCGGATCTTGGAATACTGCGGCCCTCTTTGCCGCTGTTCGCACCAAAAGTATGAAGGCTGCCCCGCGCTTTGCGAAGTTTCTGAAGCTCGCGAACCAACTCTCGGTCTTTTGTACCCAGGAAACCCATGGACAGATTGCGGATATTAACGAGCTTCGGCGAGAACTTCGGCACTTCGAGATTGGTCACTCTCTGTTCCCTGACTCTGCTGCCACTGGTGGTGTTATCACGTGCATCCAGCCTGCGTTTGCGAAGCTCTTCTCTTCTATTTCTCACTCCAGCGTCATCGATGGTCGTATCCTCAAGTCTTATCTCTCTGGGCCTCTCGGGAATTTATGTATCATCAATGCTCACATGCCGAACGCGAATGAGCTCACGTGTGTATATGCTAACGCATTACGATCCATCCTTCGTGAACTTCCCAGCCCCGCCGATTGTTTCACGATCTTGGTAGGTGACTGGAACTTTGCGCTCTCCTCAGATGGGAGACTTCGGGCGGATGGTAGTGGGTGGTATCCTGGAGATGATAATCATACTTCTCTATTTCATCGGCTTTGTAGTTCTTGGATTGAGTTTTACCAATGTGAGGACACGAGGAGGGAGGTCAGGGACGGCATCACGACCCACTCTTCTCGGCTAGACCGTATGTACAGTTCGCTTCCCTCGGCCTTGATCACGGACCTCACGATTGTTTGCGAGGCGCGTGGGACACTGAAGGTGGATATGGTCTCCGACCACATCCCGATAGTTGTCACGATCAGCACCTTCAGACCTCAGGATGCCCCCAAACGTCTGGCTCCTTGGGTTGTTCGGCACCCGTTATTCGCTGAGCTTTTGAACGGCGCTATTGATGCCCTTCCCTGTGGTGACCCGTGGGCTCGTCTTGCTGAAACGAAATCTTTGGTGTTTGAAGTTGCTGAAGAGGTTGAACGTCTGGTTAACTTGAAACCTGCTGACACTACCGAAGCTAAACACTATCGTGCCCTGCAAGCCCTTCGTGCATGGCGCGCGGGCGACTCCTTCAAGCTTGCGGCGGCGGTCGCCGCGTACCCGGCGCTCGCGGCTCACTTTCCTGCCGGCCTTCAGGATGCCAGATGCGAGGCCCTCTGCCAACGCGTTCAAAGTCTCCATAATGCTCTTCTGTCTGCCGAGGAGGAATCTCTCAATCAGGCCTTGGGTGAGGACGTCGGACCCGTGCCCTCTGAGGGCGATGTGAATGCTCGGCGGAAGTTGGCGGCTCGGAAGGAACTCTGGCGGAAGATGAAAAGGCGTACGTGGCTCCAAGGGACCTTGTCGGCCTCAGGGGACATTAGCAAGACAGAAGAAGAGGCTGCCCAGGCCCTACAGGATCACTGGAGTACTATCTTTGCTGCTACTGAGGACGACGAGTCCCTCTGGCCCGAGCTGCTTAACTTTGTGCCGAAGTTGCCTGTGGCCCCTGAGGAGTTTGAGGAAGAGGACTTAATTGGGCAAGGGTGGATGATGAGTGAGTTTGAGTGGCAAATGATGATACGGGGGAGGAAAGACAGCATGCCTGGGGAGGATGGAATCCCTTACTCGGCCTGGAGGGCCCGTGCTGCTGGTGAACTTCTCTACGAATGCTACCAAGCTTTCATCCGTAACCCTCGGGCTGGTCTTCCCGAGGATATGAAACGGAGTCTCATGGTTTTCTTACCCAAAAAGATTACGGAGGCGGAGGCGGGGGAGGGAGTTTATCGTGAACCAGCTGATACTCGTCCACTAAGCATGACAAATACGGATGCCAAGGTTTTCTCGGCCTCGATGGCTATGATTCTCACGCGCAAGGTTGCGCGGCACTGTCTTCTCCAGCCTCCACAGAAGTGTTTCCGTGGCAGCGACATGCTCGCGAATGTGATGGAGGCTGAGAGTTTCCTTCTTGAGTGCCACCTTCGTGATAGATATACGAGTGGGCTCGTCCTGACGGACTTTGAATCCGCCTTCCCCTCGATAAAGGTCTCCTGGGTCCTCCGCGTACTGGCCTCCATGGGTGTCCCGTCTGCTGTCATATTGTTCTTCCAGGCTCTTTATCAAGATAATTCTGCGATTATTTATATATATGGGAGGATGTTTGGTTCTTTCTCGATTGGGAGAGGAGTTAGGCAAGGCGACCCGAGCTCGATGCTTCTATTTATCCTGGCCGTTGAACCTGTACTAGCATGGGTGAGGGCTAAGCTTCCATCTCAGCTGACTTTGACTCTCGCGTATGCCGACGATTTTTGTTTCGGCCTCCGCTGTATCTTCGATGGCATCGAGCCGTTGTTCAAGTATTTGCAGTTGCTGCACGGCGCGATAGGCCTGGCTCTCAATTTCCCGAAGTGCCAGATTCTGCTAGTTTACGAGCGTCTCAGGGACCCTCTTCGTGATTTCCTGGTTGACCTGGGACCCCTCTATCAGCGGGTTGAAATTACTAAGTGTCTGAAGTACCTTGGGGTCTGGATTGGTCTTGGGGCGGAGGAAGTGGCGTTCACGGCATCCATTATTAAGCTCAAAAAGCGGACGCGTGAGATTCGTGATCTGGGGCTTGGTTTGGCCCAATCCATTGTTTTATTCAAAGCGTTTTGCGTCTCTTTATTGTCCTTCCTTTTGCAGCTGCACCGTCCCACTCGTGATCTTGACAAAGCTTATCAATCCTGTGTCCGTCTCCTCTCTGCTGGCCCTAACAATGCACTATCTTACGACATGTGTACCCACCTCTGTGTTTATGGGTTCCCTATTGAGTTCCCTCGGCTCTCGCTCGTGGCGGATGCTACTCGGGCGAGATACATTGCACGTTGTGATGAGCTGCCTCGGATCCGAGGACAAGTCGCTCAGATTTTTGAAGACGATGACTGGTGCCCATATCGGCAGCGGCGAGGCTGGTACGTGAATAGTTTCCTCACTCACTTGTTCACCTTCCAGGACGAAGCTGCATCTCACGGCTTCCAGATATTGTATGAGCGTAAGGATGTACAGAAGCAGTACACGCGTGCGCTGAGGCGCTTTCACTGTCCCACCGTCTCCCCGCATGAAGCTATCCTTCGGCGTGCCTGTGCGTGGATCCCTGAGGTCTCCCTGTCGGACATCGTCTGGGTTTGCAAAGTCATCAAAGCCCTGGCCCGTCAGTCCAGTCCTTACATTCCGTTGGCCAACCTTCGTATGCTCTCCAGGTGTGTTTGCACTAGTGCTCGATTTCATGCTCCCCCTCGAGGCTGTCTTCTTGGGTGCCCTAGTTCTCTGTCTTCTCCGACCGACTTAGATGACATGCACCACTACCTCGTGTGCCCCAGGCTCCAGCAGTTGTTCTCGCATTGGATGGGCTCTTGGGCTCCCTGTTCCTCTGGGTCTCCTGAGGGTTCGCCCTGGCTCCACCTCTACCTCCTTTTTCGTGGGATGGGTCCTGGCCAGCGTCTTTTAAGTTCTATGCTTTGTGATGCCTTTCTCAGTATGCACTCTTCAGTTAGATATGGTCTTCCTGGCTCTCCGCAGCAGCAATTCGAAGCAAGGCTCCGAATACAATCGAGGAGGCACCGTGCTTGTCGTCGTGTGTGGCAGGCGCTTAACCTTGAACATTGGGGGGGAAGGGGCCCTTTTATATATATATATATATATATATAATATATATAATATATATTAATATATATATATAAAAAAAAAAAAAAAAAAAAAAAAAAAAAAAAAAAAAAAAAAAAAAAAAAAAAAAAAAAAAAAAAAAAAAAAAAAAACGTCCCAAGAGGCCCCAGAGCTCGCCCCAAAACGGCCCAAGAGGCACCCCCAAGACGGCCCAAGAGGCCTCCAAGACTGCTTAAGACGGCCCCGGGAACGCCCCAAGAGGGGCCCCAGAGGGGGGGCGAGGACCGGCATGTTAGGCCTTCCGGCCAAAGAACCCCCCTAGGAAGCAAGAGGCCCCAAGAAGCCTCCGAGAGGTCTCAAGGAAGCACCCAGAGGCCCCCAGGAGAGCCCCAGGACTGCCGAAGTACCGGAGGGCCCCGAGGTGGCCAGAGAAGCCCCAGGGCCCGAAGATTGCCCAAGAGGGGTCCAAGATGGTCGGAAACGCCCCGACAGAGTGGCACAGCGCCAAACGGACGGCACGGGGACCAGCATAATGCGCCTCAAAGCGGCGCAGCGTCAAACGGACAACAGCGGAATCAGCATCATGCGCCGTGCAGGCATCCCCTTCTTTGTTTGTCTCTTCCTCGCAAATCACGCCCACTTGTCCTCCAAGGTCGTGGTCCGTGGCAATATCAGGTTCGAGCTGGATCGATATGTGAGGCTCCCGGGCCGATACCTGGCGAAGCCGCCCGGCTCGAAAAAATCGAGTCGCTAGGATCTCAGGGTATATCGGTCCGACGTCGTCGTCGCCGTCGCCGTCGTCGTCGCCGTCATTGGCGTCGTCGCTCCTCGTCGTCGTCGCTCCTCGTCGTCGTCGCTCCTCGTCTTCGTCGTCGTCGTGGCTTCTCGTCGACTTTGTCTCGGTGTCTGCCCTCGCCCGACAGGCTGCGGCGATGGCCGCCGCGGCGCCCCCGGCCGCGGGCGCCGCGGCCGCGGCGGGCGCGGGGGCGGCCGCGCCGGCCCCAGGACGGCCGCCGCCGCCCTCCCCAGAGAGGCACGAGGGCGTCAAGGGCAGCGGCAGGTCGTCGTCGTCGTCGGCGTCGTCGTCGTCGTCGCCGCCGCCGTCCTCGCCACCGCCGTCGTCGTCGTCGTCGGCGTCGTCGCTCCTCGTCGTCGTGGCTCCTCGTCGACGTCGACGTCGTCGTCGTTGGCGTCGTCGGCATCGTCGTCGTCGGCGTCCTCCCGAGAGGCACGAGGGCTTCAGGGGCAGCGGCAGGGGGGGAGATTTGGGGTGTTCCAGGCAGGGCCTCTCGCCTTCGAGGGTTGCAGGAGCATGGCGGGAGGTTTTTCGTTACGTCCGGCTTCCAGGAGCCCTCACGGGCCTCGGGGGATGTGGGGCGTCCCGGAGAGACCCTTACCACCGAGGGTCGAAGGAGAGGAAGAGGAGGAGGAGGAGGAGGGCTCAACACGATGCGATACAACGACACGAAGAGGCTACGATAGGTCTGAGTTGAACTTGTTTTGCCGTCGATATGTCGCCGCGCCGTTTTTTCCGACGCGCGGCCTTCCGCCTTTGGGAGGGCTCCGCGGCCACCAGGGCAAACGCCGCCTCGGGCCGCTGTGCTGGCGTCGTCTATCTACTTGGGGCGCGTGGTGTGCCGTGGGTTTGGCGTGGTGTCGGCGTCGTCCACGTGGGCGCATCGAACACAAACGGCGCGGCGATATGTGAGGCGCTACCAAAAAAACCTTGCCTTCCCGGACCCCCTCGCGCTGTGAAAAAACAAGACGGGAGTTGTCGCTCGACTCCGCCGCGTGGCCTAACATGGAGACGTTTACGGTGAATGTTTGACCCGGGCGAGAGTCGGAGCTTGAGGCCGTATCATGTCGCACGGCAGCTGTTGTGGCCCTCCTTCTTGCCACCCTCGGCCTTGGAGTCCGCCCACAACAAATTTGCAGCTCGAACCGTTTTGCGTGTGCACCGCTTGGTGGGGGTCTCCCCCTTCGCTGTTCTGGACGCACCGATCGTCTCGACGGTTGCGAGTCAGGCCAAAGCCTTGGAGCGGGTCCGGTCCTCTTTTTGGCCCCCGAGGCCCGCACGGGCGAGTTCCCCAGTTTTGAGAGGTTCGGTGAGCTCTAGGCAGCTGCTGTGGCCGAAAAGAGGGAGCAAAATGGGGTCTGGCCCAGAGAGATCCAGATCCATGTGCGATCCAGGAGCTGCCCTTCGACTCCTTCGCCTGGCCTCCTCATCCATTATGTGCAAGATGTGTGGCGCGATCTCTGCGGTGCAATCTATGTAGCACAGTCAATGTGCTGCGCAATTCATGCGGTGCAACCGGCGTGGTGCAACGTGTGCTGTGCAATCTGTGTGGTGCAGCACATGCCGTGCCATCTATATGGTGCAAGACCTACGTGTAATATGTGGTGTGCAATAGATGTGGTGCAATCGATGTTGCGCACGAATGTGGTGCAAAGCATAGCAAGACATAGCAACGCACAGCAATGCCAGTGAACGCAAAGGAACGCAACGCTGCCTGACGCAATCGATGTGGTGCAACGAAGCGGCGGCGATGACATCGCCACCAGACCGACAGACCGGCCCAGACGACGGGCGCCGACGAGGCGCCGACGGGGCGGCGACGGAGACTGCACAGCCGCCAAACCGCCCTTCGGGCCCACACGACGGGCGGCCACGCAGCGGCGACGGGGCGGCGACGGCGACTGCACAGCCGACCTTCGGGGCCAGCCCGCTGGAGCACGGGGCAGGAGCCCCTGAGTGCGAGCACCGCTGGGAGGATCGCGGCAGTTTTTGGAATCTGCGTGGATGTGTCTGTGCCCCCCCGGGACCTCAGCTCGGCGTGCCCGCACGGCGCCGCCCCGGCGGACTCCTCCGAGGCCTCGGGAAGCTGCGCGCCTGTGCCGTGCCGGGTGGCCCACGGGGGGGGGGGGGGGCCGACAGGAGCCAGGGGGCGTGGGCACCGGGAGGGGAGCGAGGAGGGGGAGCAGGGGGGAGCGAGGAGGGGGGTAAGGAAGGAGGCGGTGCAAGGAGAGGAGGACGGGAGGAGGAGGAGGAGGCGGAGAGAGGGATAAGAGAGAAGGAGGAGGAGGAGCCCACGGGGGGGGGGGGCCGACAGGAGCCAGGGGGCGTGGGCACCAGGAGGGGAGCGAGGAGGGGAGCAGGGGGGAGCGAGGAGGGGGGTAAGGAAGGAGGCGGAGCAAGGAGAGGAGGACGGGAGGAGGAGGAGGAGGCGGAGGAGGGATAAGAGAGAAGGAGGAGGAGGAGGAGGAGGAGGAGGAGGAGGAGGAGGGAGGAATAGAGGAGGATGAGGAGGAGGAGGAGGACGAGGAGGTGGTGGAGGAGGAGGAGGAGGAGGATCAGGCGGAGGAGGGCCCAACAAGAGGAGGGCGGGGGAGCAGCGGCGGCTGCGAGCCGCGGGATCGGCGGAGCCCGAGGCCACCGCTGCTCAGAGAGGGGGCCTGGCGCGGGAGGCCTGGGATGACGACGTGGTGGTGGTGGTGACAGTGATGGCGATGACGATGCCGATGGCGATGGCGATGACGATGATGATGACGACGATTACGACGACGACAACGACGACGACGCCGCCTCCGACGACGACGGCGTCGTGATGATGACGATGAGGATGAGGATGAGGATGGTGATGATGATGGTGATGATGATGATGATGATGATGATGATGTTATTGATGGTCATGGTGACGGAGATGATGGTGATGATGGTAGTGATGATGATAATGATGATGGTGATGGTAACGATGATGCTGATGATGATGATGATGATGATGACGATGATGATGATGATGGTGATGATGATGATGATGTTGAGGATGATAGTGATGATGGTGATGATGATGATGATGTTGATGGCGATGGGGATGGCGATGATGTTGGTTATAATAAGAAGACGAATACTAAGCAGGCGAAGAAGACAAATGATAGTAATACGAATACAAATAATGATGATGGTGATGATGATGATGAAGATGGTAATGATGATGATGATGATGATGATGATGATGATGATGATGATGATGATGATGGTGACGATGATGATGATGTTGGTGATGATGATGATGATGATGATGGTGATGAGGGTGATGGAGATTGGGATGGTGATGATGTTGATGGCACGTAGTAAGAAGGATACGTATAAGAAGAAGATGAAGTCAAATGGATGAAACGAAATAGATAATAGTAATGAAGATGAAGATGGTGATGATGCTGAAGATGGTGATGGTGGTGACGATGATGATGACGGTGGTGATAATGACGGTGGTGATAATTCTGGCGATGATGATCATGATGGGGATTATGGTCAAAAACATGATGGAAATGATGATGCTGATGACGATGATTATGGTGGTAACAATAACAAACATGCTATTATTCTTATAATACTAATAATAAGAATCATCATAATAATATTAAATTGTAACAATAATAACAATGATGCTGCTGATGATGATGATGATGATGACGATGATGAGCGGCACGCCGCAGCCATTTTGGCTCATGCGCCACGCCGCGCCCCCGCCGAGTGCGGGCCGGCGCGCGCCTCGGCGGCGGCATGCCGCTGCGGCGGCTCTCGGAAGCGGCGCGCGCGTGCGCGCGGGACGCCGCGGCGGAGGCGGCCAGCGGCCGGGCGGGCGGCATGCCGTCGTCGTCGTCGTCGTCGTCGTTGTTGCCGCCGCCGACGTCGTCGTCGCCGTCGTCGTCATCGTCGTCGTCGTCGTCGCCGCCGCCGACGTCATCGTCGCCATCGTCGCCGTTGTCGTCGTCGTCATCGTCGTCCTCGCTCGATCGCCGCCGTCGGCGCCATACCCACAGGCGGCCGACGGGCGGTCGGGCGGCGAGGGCGGCGCGGAGCAGGACGGCAGCCAGGCTCGAAGGAGGAGAACCGGCCTGGGCATAGTTCGACTAGACGTAAGTCGGGCCTGTCCCTCTACAGGGGGAATATTCAAAAATAGTCACCAAATAGTCCGGGGACCATTTTTTGAGTATTTTTGGGCATGCTTTGATATTCGGAGTATTTTTAATTTTTCGTCCAAAATCCCCCTGTAGGGGGACACGCCCGACCTAAGACTAGACGTAAGAGTTAAGTTCGCCGGAGTGACCTTTGATGCGGGCCCAATGTGTAGCAGCGGCTTGCGCGCCCAGGTTTGGCCACCCCGCGTCCCCTGTGAAGCCTCGCACCAAAGGTCACTCGTGCCTGGGGCCACTCTTGCGTGCAGCCGAAGAGTATACAGTCAGAACGCTGAAAGAAGGACCGTTTTTGGCTCAGGACAGGCTCGGGTTTCGGGCCGTTCCTCAGATTTATGTCGTGGAGCCTGCTCGTGACCTAATCCCTCCGCGGCCAGAAATGCCCTTTTGTTCCTTTTCATGCGTTCCTCCTGGTAGCACGATGACTGTAAGCTTTCGGAGGCCCGCGAGGCCCTCTCGGATCGGCGCCCAGGCGCCTTCTGGTGGCAGCACCGGCGCCATCCCTGTAGGCTGCGCGCAAGAGTGACCTTTCGCCAGAGTAACCTTTTGCAGTCAACCCGCATAGCAAGGATGGACAATTGTCCGCAGGGTACCCTTGCATCCTTGCCTCCTCGGTCCATCCTTGGCCACTTTCGTTGCCCGCGCCCCGCTCGAAAAGCGGCGAAACGGCCTTCCAAGGCCCTTGCATCCTTATCGTGCATCCTTGTAATGCCAGTCCACTGCAGTGCGGGCACACAAGGGGCCCGCTGGGTCCCCCCAGCAGTGACCTGCGCGCTTGGATTAGGCCCCCCCGCGGTCCCCAAAGCCGCGCACCAGCGGAGGTCACTCTTGCCCAGGGTCACTCTCTCGTGTGGCCGACCCTGTCGCGCGGACCGCGCGCCATTGATGCGGGGTTCGAGCGCTGCTCCAAAAAACCGACGTGGACGTCCAAAATCTGATGTTCCTCCTTCTCCTCCTCCTCCTCCTCCTCCTCCTCCTCCTCCTCCTCCTCCTCCTCCTCCTCCTCCTCCTCCCGTCCTCCTCTCCTGCCGTATTCCGCCTCCTTTCTTATCTTTCTCATCGCTCCCCTCCCTTCCTTCTTTCTCCTCGCTTCCCTCCCTCCTCGCTCCCCTCCCTTCTCGTCCTCCTCCCGTACTCCTCCACGTTCTTTCCTCTTCCCCCTCCCTTCTTCCCCTCCCTTCCTCGTCATCCTCCTCAGTCTTCCTCCTTCCTCCTCCTCCCCCTTGCCCTCCCTTTCCCCTCCCTTCTTGTCCCCATCCCCCTTCCCTCCTCCTCATCCATTCCTTTTCCTTATAAATAACTTCTCCTTGTCGCACCCCGAGGCCAGCTTGTAGGGCGGCCCGGGCGTTTCGCCTAAGACTTCTTCACCAGCTATGACCCTGAAGCTTAAACATTGACAACAGTTTCACAGATGGAGGGCGGGCCGTTTTTTCTTAATGTGGCTCTCGCCTTAGCGCCGCGCAGATGCTTTTTCCAGAATTTGCAAGAGCTCCACGGATTGAGGGCGACCCGTTTTCGAAATGTGGTTCTCGCGTTAGCGCCGCAAGCAAACAAACAAACAAACAAACAAACGAAACAGCAAGAAAAACGAGTGTCACACATTGAGGGCGGTTCCTTCTCAAAGTGTGTCTCTCGCGGCAGCGCCGCGCACATTCATTTTCAATAGTTGCAAGAGTTTAACAGATTGAGGGCAGTTTCTTTTCAAACTGTGGCTCTCGCCTCAACGCCGCGCACATCTTTCTGTAGGTTTGCAAGAGCTCCACGGGGTCCCACGATCAGCGTACCGGAAATTGCGGTTTGGAAGTATTCAGGATTATGAGGGTGCAACAGTTAGGTTGGTTCGCCTTGCTGAAGTCCCAGGAATGGCGTTCTGGCACGATTCCGGATCGTCAAGACGCGACAGTCAGGTTGATCCGTGGCGTGGGAATCCGGAGAACGATGTGTTGGCATGCATCAGATTCTTCAAACGGTTGTCTTCCGACGAGGCAGTTCCCTCAGTAGAAATGAGCCTTTGTAGGGGCCTATGAAGAGGGAGCTTGGAGGGAGTGTTTATTCCAAGTATGCCGTCGTCGTTGATGACGGTTGGGTTTACACTGGTCCTGCTCCTCCTCCTACTCCTCCTCCTCCCCCCTTCTCCTCCTCCTCCTCCTCCTCCTCAGCCTCCTCCTCCTCCTCCTCCTCCTCATCATCATCATCATCATCATCATCATCATCATCATCATCATCATCGTCATCATCATCATGATCGTCATCGTCATCGTCATCCTCCTTCTCCTCCTCCTCCTCCTCCTCCTCCTCCTCCTCTTCCTCATCCTTCTCTTCCTGCTCCTCCTGCTCCTCCTTCCCCTCTCCTCCTCCTCCTGCTGCCTCCTCCTCCTCCTCCTCCTCCTCCTCCTCCTCCTCCTCCCCTCCCTTCCACCACCTCCTCCTCCTCCTGCTCCTTCTTCCTGCTCCTCCTCCTCCTCCTCCTCCTCCTCCTCCTCCTCCTCCTCCTCCTCCTCCTGCTCCTGTTCCTCCTCCACCTTCCTCCTCCTCCTCCTCCTCCTCCTCCTCCTCCTCCTCCTCCTCCCTCCTCCTCCTCCTCCCCCTCCCCCTCCTCCTCCTCCTCCCCCTCCTCCTCCTCCTCCTCCTCCTCCTCCTCCTCCCTCCTCCTCATCCTCCTCCTCCTGCTCCTCCTCCTCCTCCTCCTGTTCCCTCCTCCTTCCTCCTCCTCCTCCTCCTCCTCCTCCTCCTCCTCCTCCTCCTCCTCCTCCTCCCTCCTCCTCCTCCCCCCTCCTCCTCCGCCTCCGCCTCCTCCTCCTCCTCCTCCTCCTCCACCTCCTCCTCCTCCTCCTCCTCCTCCTCCTCCTCCTCCTCCTCCTCCTCCTCCTCCTCCTCCTCCTCCTCCTCCTCCTCCTCCTCCTCCTCCTCCTCCTCCTGAGCCTCTGGAGCCTCTGGAGCCTCGGACAAGTCTATCCCTCACTGGGTGAAAGATAGCCTGCAATTGTGGAAAAGGGGGCTCAATGGACAGGAAAGGGGGTCCCCACCACCTTCTTGCTGGTAGGGTCCTTCCCCTTCTCAAGCTCCTTCAGAGCTCTCCTGCCCCATTCGCCTGGCCCTCTGGGAGGGCACTCCTTAGCCAAGCCTTTCACTTGGCCAGTGCCATAGCTCCCACACCTCGCACAGAAGAAAGTAGACCCACACACCCACATTCGATGGGATGGGTGGGCCTTTGCAACAATCCTTGGGGTACCAGGGCATTGCTGACTGGTCACGCGTTCTCTTCGGAGCGAGCTCTGACCACACATACGACAGCCCCATCGACCCCCTTGCTTATGAAGGAGGTGCCCTTTATCCCCCTTTACAAGTTTGAGTGTACACAGTAATTCACCTGCTACCTTTTGCTTTTCAGGCCTCTTCTGGACCTTTGGCATATCATCTGCATCTGGAAAACCTTGCCTGCTGAGATTATACAAAACACCTGACAGGAGTCTAACAAACTTAACCCCGAACTGCTCAGCGGCTCTGAGACGTTCGAGGATCTGGGGCTGGGACAGGTGCCCCATGGCTCCTAGCTTAGCATACCCATCGGCCTCAGAATTTCCAGCGTGCCAGTGCGGGGGAAAACCATTCCTACTCAGCCAAGCCCTGGATTTGTGGGACGGCATCCAGACCAGCTCAAAGCTGTCTCTCCCCACGTCTTCGATTTTTTAGAAAATCAACCTCCAAATCTCAAAATACGGCTGGGTCGGAACACACATTGTTTCAGCTCCTTTGTCCGCGGACAGCAGCAATTTCTTATGATCGGTGATGATGACCGCCTTCGGCCCCATCATGCACAGGGCCATATAAAAGGCGAAGTGTTCTGCTAGCCCTGCACTCTGTACCACGCCAGGCGTGGGACCATAACACACAAGTCCTGCTTCGCGGGATCCTGGAACCAAGGTGCAACAAGACCATCCCGAACGGGTCTGCCACTCCACTTCAGGGTTCAACCCCGATCCGTCGATGAAAATTTCCAACCCCAGATGGCCCCTGGGCCCCAGTCTTTTCTGGAACTTCTCTTCAGCCAGGGATCCCACGAGCGGTGGGGGGAATTCGTCGCGTCCCGAGCCTGTAACACCATATTCGACAAGCGGACAATCTCCTGCTTCCCGACTGATATCCACTAACTCGGCCATATCAAAGTCACGCCGCCATGCAGCTTGACCATCACATTCATATATACGGTGCCGAATGGTGCCTGTCTGAGCTCCACAGCTTCGACACATGTTGGATATGGAATATATTTCACAATACAGCTTGCTCTGGGTCCAAAGGCCTCCAGCAAGATGAGTAACAACTAAATCTGCCTGGATATGTTCACCCCGTCCCCTCATGCGCTGCAACTCCTGCTTAATAGGATCCAAATACGGTATACAGTCCCACCCAAAGTGCTTCTGCGCTTGGATCTCCTGGGCCCTGCGGAGGCTTCGATGGATGAGGCTCTTGAGGGTTTGGAGTCCTATCTCCAGGAGGTCCACCACGAGCCCCTGGCCATCTTTCCACGTCACATAGTCAACCGCCACCCATCCTATGCGCACGAGGGTCTGGATAACTGCGCCAGCAGGTCCTATCACCGAGCTCCACCCAGCCTTGGACGCGGCCGCGGCCGCTTCAAATATGGTGGACAGCAATTTCCGAGGGAGCCACTCTTGTCGCAGTGCGGTATACCATGTCACTAGCGGCAACGTATTGACGACGGACGACGGGTCAAGGTCACACGGATCCGCTAATAAATACTGCACTGCACGCGAGCGCCCCTTAGCCTTCCCAAACAACACAAAGGATGCCACAGCTCGTAGACTGCCCAGGTCCGTCGTCGACATCCCCTGGACCCTTGTACCATACGTTGCTGGTGCCAACCCTCCAGCCCGAAAAACGCGTTTCAACCCTTTTCTGTGATGCTTGATCGAATGAAACCGACCTGCTCGCCTCCGAACGGACCAAATCCTCTGCCTGAGCGTCTTCTTCCCCTTCCTGAACTGCATCCCGAAATCGTGCCCGGGATTTCTCACCGAGGAATACGCTTCAAAGCAGTACCTGGACAAGGCCTTCTGCAGCCTCTGGGCGAGCTGGTCACTCGAGGCCACAATCTGGCCCTTCTTCCTGGAGACGACCAAACCTAACAGCTCGAGACGACGACACAGGTCTGGCACAGCTGTGGCGATTTGCAGCTCCACGTTCCGCATGGAGCCGATCGCTTCGACGGTGATGTCAGCCACCATCACATATAGAGTGAGCGAACTCCACCTTTCCTGCATATACTGCAAGGCATCGTGCAACATGACCCTCAGGAGCGTCGTTGCAAACGAACAACCTGCCACGATCGATCTCGTGGCCTGGATAGTGTCGGACACAATCTCACGCACCTGAACCCGACGCTTACCACCATATACCATGAGCAAAAGCCTGATACGACGCAAACTGAAGTTATGCTTAACACACGCGTGCCACAATACATCGTGCGGGATCTTCTCATAGCATTTTTCCATATCTATCCGAGCCGACGCTGACGACGCTTGTATTGCTTTGGCTGGCTCGACCGACGCTGCTTGCTGCCATATCGCTCTCTCACAACTTTTCCCTTTCGCCCCATCGATACAGTTCAGTTCGTGTGTTCGCTCCCACTGTGCTGCTTCATACCTACGGATACGGCTTAATACTCTGATCGCTGTCGCCAGGATGCCGATGGGCCTGTAGCCGCCATCTGGCTTCTGCAAGAAGGCAATCAGCGACGCGTCGCACTGCGCTGGGATCAGCAAGTGCGTCTCCGCACACGAAAGAAACTTGGCATACACCTCGAGCGCCTGATCACTGAGCTTCCTCAGCTCAGCAGGGCTCCACCCATCAACTCCTACGGCTGTGTTCTTCTTGAACCGTTTGAGGGCTCCCTTGATCTGCTCCAGAGTTGGGACTGGTGGGGCATCTCCGAGGGGTAGTCCTAGGTGCTCGGCCGTGAGTCGGCTGGGCTCCCCTTCGTGCCAAATGTTCCTCCACTCCTCCAGAAGGGACTCGACGGTGTCGACCTGGCCTGCGGGACCTCCAGAAACTCCAGTTGGGTCGGGAGCCCACCCAACGGGTTCTTTGGTGTACTTATACACAGCCCCTCCACCAGCCGCCAAAGAGCAATTCACCCAGTCCCTCCAAACCTTCGTCTTGGCCTGCCTGAAACACGACTCAACTACTTCGGCGAATTCTCGAACGGACTCAGCATACGCGCCCAAATCTTCCAGGGAGACGCCAGCTTGAAACCGTAACCTATCTTGAAACTCTCGCCATCCAGGAACAGCTGTTAGGTCGGATGTCGGCTTACGGAGCTTGCCTACGAGATCCTTGGCCCCAGACGGTTTCCAGCAGTGTCCACGCTTCCGAAGGTGCCTGAGCTCCTCTAGACGGACCTGGAACTTCCTGAGCGCCCTGGAGGCCTTTGTGCACTTGGGATAAGGGCCCTTGACATTTTCCAAAACAGGCCTAGATACCAAATGATACCCAGCTCCTCTGCCGAAATACTGCGACCTATCAGCTAGAGGAATACCTAAGATGTCGGCGAGCTCTCCTTCCATCATCGCACACATGTCCGAGTACAATAGGTTGAACTCGGTCTGGGTTGGCCTCTCGTCGAAGCCGCGAAACCTATCTATCAGATTGCTCCAGCTCCTCTGAGGCGCAAGTCCTATTGGCCCTTCGAGGGGAAAGGGCCGAGGCAACTTTAAAACCTGTTTTGTCCGCCGATGGGTGTCTGTGGAGAGAGTCAACATTACTGGATAATGCGTGCTATTCCCTGACTCCTCCACCCTGCGACAGGACTTGATCGAGCCCACGAGGTCGTGCGAGACGATTTTTTTTTTTTTTTTAAAAAAAAAAAAAAAAAAAAAAAAAAAAAAAAAAAAAAAAAAAAAAAAAAAAAAAAAAAAAAAAAAAAAAAAAAAAAAAAAAAAAAAAAAAAAAAAAAAAAAAAAAAAAAAACTCTCTCCACCGACCTACCCTGCACGTGGGCTGGTTGCCGTACACGACGACAGCCCTAAGCTTGTGAATGATTGGCAACACCTGCACTTCTGACGGCAGCGAGTTGACGTCCGCGGCCCAGATGAAGGGCTTCTGCGCAGCGTAGAGAAATTCGCCCATCTGATTTATCAGCTGACGACCCCGTTCACCCTGGACTCCTTCCCCGTCAGGAAGATACATACTAGCTACATAAAGTCCCCCTCGAACTCCTCCATTAACCCATACAATGGAACTCCGAGGATTCATAAGGTGCTTGTGGGGCCCAACGACGGAGCCCATGCCGATGTGGTGCTTCGCAGCGATGCCGACCCCAGACGACACCCCTTTCTCACCAATCTCCCCCGTGCGCACAGCTGGTGTGAGACGTAGCTTCCAGCCATCCGAACGCACACTGCTCTCACTCTGGGTTATCCGCTCACGCAAAATTCTGCACTCCTGGAAGCACATGACGTGGGCACTACTCAGAGCTGGATCAGTCAAGGCATGCTGGGTTCCTGACCAACCCGACGTGTTGACTGTCACAAAATTCCATGACGTGGCCGAACTTGATGCGGCTCCTGAGTCTGACTCATCAGACGAGCCTGCACATGATACGTACTGCGTGCTAAAGACTCTCCTGGCCGCCCTCGACCTCCTTGCTCTTGCCGAGACCCTTGGCCAGGAGAACTTGGGCCTTCTCTCGGAGCTCCTTGCTGCTGCGTCCGAGAGGCGAGCCCTTTCCTTGTCCAGGACCCTTTGCTGCATCCTGCCCTGGGGGGGCCTGAGGCTCCGCCGCCGCCGCACCGTCGTCCGCCGCCGATGCCACACCCGCCGATGCCTCATCCCCCTCCCCAGCCGCCTCTCCATCAGCAGCTCGTCGTCGCTTGCCCGCCAGGCGGGCACGTAACTCCTCCTGCTCCTTCTGGGCGGCCTCGGCCTTGGCCTTGAGCTCACCGAACAGGTTGGTGGCCAACTCCCTAAACTGAGTTTTGAGTCGGGCCTCCCGATCCTTAGCCTCTTTAACGTCGGACTCCTGCAGATCAATATATTCACCCAAGCCGAATAAATCATCTCCACATGATAAGTCCCAATCTGTGTCCTTGCCACTGAGAATGTCGACCAATGAGACAACCTTCTTGGCCGTTGCGGCACTCCCAGGCTGAGCCGATGATATGGTGCAGTGGAGCTCAGTGATCGCCTGCTTGTAGATCTCCTCCTGCGCCGACAGCTCCGCCAGGGTGCTGGACACGACCTCCTGCTGCTTCTGCACTTGCTCATGCATCTCTGCGAGCCTCGTGGTCTGGACCCGCAGCTCCCCTTCCAACTTGATGATGGAACGGTTGGCTTGGTCCGCGCGAACCTGTGGGGAGACTGCGGTGCGGTCCTTGGCCACCAAGACCGTCTCGTAGTACTGGGCGAGGGGAGCGTTCTTCCCCTTGTTGGCCAACTCGATGAGTTGTCGCACTTCGTCCACGGATAGATCTGGAACTGGGTCCTTGCCTCCTGCCTGTGCACCGACTGGCAACGGGGCCATGCCACCAAGCCCAGGAGGAGAATCGCCCAGCTGATCATGGTCCCAACCTTCACGGTCGGTCCCTTTGCCCTTCTTGGCCCTCTTCTTCTCGCCTTTCTTCCAGTGTGCCCCGCAATGCTTGCAGTGCGCCTGGTTCCACATCGTTTTACTGCACCCGCAGCGCTCGCAGCGCCACATGTGAGAACTGCTGCCATCCCAAGATTGCTGTGGAGCCATCAGCAGAAACGAAAGTAGAGTGAAAGAAGGGGGCGCGGGTCTCTGTGACCAGCTTGAGCCAATTAGCTACGGACTCCTCCTCCTCCTCCTCCTCCTCCTCCTCCTCCTCCTCCTCCTCCTCCCCCTCTTCCCCCTCCCCCTCCACCTCCTCCTCCTCCTCCTTCCCTTCCCTCCTCCTCCTCCTCCTCCTCTCCTACTCCGCCTCCTCCTCCTTTTCCTCCTCCCGCCTCCTCCTCCTCTCCTCCTCCTCCTCCTGCTCCTCCTCCTCCTCCTCCTCCTCCTCCTCCTCCTCCTCCTCCTGCTCCTCCTCCTCCTCCTCCTATGCTTGATCCGATGTTCCTTATTCTTATCCTTCTTAATACAAGTACTTCAGTGTTGAATGTTCATGTTGTGTTTTTCTGCTTATGTTTCTTTTCGTACGCCTGCAATTATTAGTATTGTTTTTCTTCTTCTTCTTCTTGGACAGGTGCGGGTGTATCGGTGGAACGAGTTCGGCAAGGAGATCACCACGGAGTTCGACGAGAGCCACTTCAGCCTGGAGGGCCACTTCGAGTCAAACAGCTCGGGCGGACACAAGGAGTACCAGGACCGGGTCCGCGCCGTTCACTTCCGGCGCGAGGGCAAGTCCAAGGCCGAAATCGCGAGTATGCTTGGGCGTTCTGACAAGTTCGTCGCCAAGTGGTGGCAGAAGGACGAGCGGGAGATCCCACGCCCCTGGGGCGTCCACGAGTACCTCTCCAAAGAGATGGGCCAGAAGACGTTCAACAACCGGGCTGGCGAGGTGCACGAGGAGGCCAAGAGCACGGCGTCCTGGTGGCGAGATGTAGAGATCAGGAGAGCGCCGAGCGCGTTCCGTTATTCGCACAGTGCCCATTCGCAAACGTCCGACAAAATCGTGTTTCCTTCGATGTCATGGTCGTAAGTCCTACGCGGCGGATCCAGGCAATTTGCGAGTAGCTACTTTCGGCGGCGAGCGAGGGGGGGGAGTGAGAAGAAGAAGAAGGCCTTCTCAGAAGGTTCGGAGGTCCCCTGGCCTTCTGAGAAGTGTTCTGAACCTTCCCCGAAGACAGAAACAACTTCTCAGAAGGCGCTGGGGCCTCTGAGGAGTCTCGCCGCCTTCTGAGAAGGCCTTATCCTTCTCATTTCCCCCCCGCGCTCGCCGCCGATACTTTGCGAGTCGTGGAACGCGCTTGTCTAGGAGAGGCTATTTCAAGGACCCGAGGGTCTACGAGGAGCTGCTGCTGCAGAGCGACTGGAAGAGCAACGCCGCGCGCACGCGTGACTTCGCCACTGGGGCGTCGCACGTGCGGTACGACAAGGACCCGACTACGCTTAAGTCGGGAGTGTCTCTCTACAGGAGGAATATTCAAAGACAGCCAACACATAGTCTGGGGACGATCTTTCTACAATCTAGGCTATTGTTGAACATTGGGGGCCCCCCGATCGCTGAGCGCGATGCGATGACGGCTGCTTGCGCGCTCGGATGTGGCCACCTTGGGCTTCCTTCGTCCGCGCGCTCAAAGTCACTCTTGCCAAGGGTCACTCTTGCGTGTAGCCGAAAGGACGGGAAAATGCGCATGCAAGGCAATCAGGGTGCCAAGTACAGGCAGGGGCAGTCGGCCGCCATGGACCGCTGCATCCAGAAGTTCTTCGCGGAGTACGGCGTGGCCGAGCGGACCTCGGGGATCTCGCTCAACCTGTACCCCGATGGCCACTCCACCCTGGGAAGCCACAGGCACGACTGCTGGACAGCACTCTTCAGTTTCGGCCACGAGCGGATCCTCACCATCGACAAGACCCCGGTCCTGTGCCAGGATGGCGACCTCCTGATATTCGGCACTCAACGCCACGGCGTGCCACTCATGCCTGACATCACCGAGGGCCGCATCACGGTCCCCGTCTTCTTCTACCCAGACCACCTCCAGATGCAGAAGCAGTGGCAGACGCTGACGGACCCCGAGGACCCAAGGAGGCAACGGTGCCCACGCCGCTGCTCGTCCTGGTGAGTCGTCGTCGCTATGGCTGGACTCGCCTCGGGATCCTGGTCAGAGCCCACCCTGGGAGGGAGAGGTCCACGGGGCAGCGGCATCGGTGCCTTCGGATGGAAGATGCCGACACCGCTTATTCCACGAACCTCTCCTGGGGTGCGTTCGGACGGGCATCTCGAGGCGACTCCAGCCGTGGCAACGAGGGCCTCCCAGGAAGCACCGTGCGGCGACAAAACGAGGAGTGGGCGCCAATGTTTTTAGCCGGGTCGATCCATGAGGGTGTCCTGGGGCCCGAAGCCGGGCGAGATCGCAGGGCGAAAAAAAAATGCAACGCCCTGATCTCGAGGAGCGGTGTTTCGTCCTGGGCCTCGATCCCTTCCCAGGGAGCGGTTTTTCGCGCCAGGGCCATTTCGATGGATGGCCCCCGGGCCCGAAAAGTCCAGGAAGAAAAACAGCAAGCTAGAAAAAATCACACCCTCGGACCTCTGGGCTCGAGCAGCGCTCGGATCTGAAGGTCTTCCTCCCCAGCCCCCCGACGCCACGATTTTTTCATTACGTCGACCCCTGCAGGTCTCGGCCCATTCCCCTGGACCAGATCTTCATCCTGATTCGTTTCTTGACGCTCCCGAGGACCTGTAAGGACCCCCAGAGGCCGAAAATAACAAAAAGCGTCCTTCGTGATGTTTTCATAACGCGAGGAGGTCGGGGTCCTCCCCCCCCTCCCTGGCGCGCGGAGCACGCCAGGGGGCGGCACCGGAGGCGCCGCTGGGGTGGGCCAGCGCCGACCCCAGGAGCCCGCGCGGAGCGCCGCAAGTTTTTTCCAGGGCTGGACCTGAACGTTGTTTTGCTGGACTTCCGGCTGTGTGCTTGTGCTTCGTGTTGGCAGGGAGGTGCAGGAAAACAGGCAGAGCAAAACGAAAAACAAGAAACGAAAACGAAGGTCAAGGTCAAGGTCAAGCCTGTATGCCCGCGAAGGGGCGGCCGCTTAGGGCACAGGTGGATGAAGACTAGCAGGCGCTCATGCGGTGAAGGAAATCTCCGGTCATACACTTCCATGAACGTGCGTCTCTGGCTGCTACTCTCCAGTCACCGACCCCGCACTTGTCGCAGAAGCTCTGGACATCGGACTCCCACGCTTTCCGCGGTCTCCCTTGGGACCTGTTTCTGGCGGGTGACCATGCAAGAACACGAGATAGCCACCTCTCGGCGGGCAGGTTTACGAGGAACCCGGCGAAGTTCCAGCATTGTCGCAGCAGCAGTTCCGACCATAGTCTGGTCTGGGTGCCTTGTAATTTGTCGGACACACGCTCGTGCCAGATGTGCAAATCTCATGCCATGCATTGGTCCAATCAGCCCCGCCCAGCGGCACGACAGCTTGTCGGAGAGGCCTGCGACACACAGCGTCCAGCTTCTTCCTGTCAGTTGCGTACACCACGCGGTGCGCAGAGCGAAGCGAAGACGAAACGAGAAACAACGCTCAGGCCCAGCCCTGGTTTATACGCCGAGCCGCTCCTGCTTCTGCGGGCGGAGCTTCCTCGGAGAGGCCCGACGCGCGCCTCGCGCCCCCCATGGCCAGGCCCGAGCGCCGGGCCCCGACGTCGTGACTTTGTTTCGCAACGTCGACCCCAGAGGTCCCGAGGAGGAGGGGGAGGGGGAGGAGGAGGGGGAGGGGCAGGAGGAGGAGGAGGAGGAGGAGGAGGAGGAGGAGGAGGAGGAGGGGGAGGAGGAGGAGGAGGAGGAGGACCAGTTCTTCCGCCCCGAGTCATTTTTGCATGCTCCCGAGGCCCGGGAAGGGCCCCGGGAGGCCGAAGGTAGCGAAAAACCTTCCGTCGTGAGTTCCGTCGACCCCTTCGAAGTCGCGACCCCTTGCCCCAGGGACCGGTTTTCCGTCCTGCGTCGTCGTTGGACGCTTAAGTCGGGCCTGTCCTCCTACACAGGGATTTTCGACGAAAAATATAAAATCCCCCAAAAATAATTGAAAAATAGTCCAAAAATGGTCTGGGAATGATTTTAAATATATTATTTGCCTTTTGAGGGCATTTTGGGGGTATGTTTCATTTTTCGTCGAAAATCCCCCTGTAGGGGGACACGCCCGACATGATTGGACGCTCCCGAGGGCCGGTAAGGGCCCGAGGCCGAAGACAGCGAAAAGCCTCCCGTCGTGGTGCTTTCTGCGGTGCTCCCTCTGCGAGGACCCGCGCGCCTCGCGCACCCTGGCCAGGCTTTGGGAAACCAAGAGGTACCGACACCGCTGCTCCCCGGGCCTCTCCTCGTCCTGACCAGAGTCTCGAGGCGAATCCAGCGGAGGCGACGAGGGCCTCCCAGGAAGCCCAAAAAGAGGAAAACGGGCGAAGGGTAGAGGTATGGGTACCTTTCCAAACCCCCGACGTCATGATTCCTTCATTACGTCGACCCCTGGAGGTCTCAACCCATTCCCCTGGACCGGGTTTTCATCCTGATTCGTTTTTGAACGGTCCCGAGGGCCGGTAAGGGCCCCCAGAGGCCGCAAAGAGCAAAAAAAATCGCGTCGTGATTTCGTATTTTTTCATAGCCTGAGGGGGTCTGGGTTTTCTTCCTTTGAAGGCTCGAGCGCGAGCACGGCCTCGGCGCCGACGCCGCCGAAGCTGCCCTGTGGGGCGGCCCAGGCCGCGCCGCGGCCGTGGAGCAGCTCGCCCGGGCTGGCTTCGACCCCGCCCTCGCGCGGCAGGCGCTGCACGCCCACGGCTTCGACCCGGAGGCGGGAGGAGGCGGGAGGAGGAGGAGGAGGGGGAGGAGGAGGAGGAGGAGGAGGAGGAGGAGAAGGAGAAGGAGGAGGAGGAGGAGGAGAAGGAGGACGAGGAGGAGGAGGAGGAGGAGGAGGAGGAGGAAGGAGGAGGACACGCTCGGGCCGCTGCCGACATCACGACGGAGGGTTTTTCATCCCGAGTCGTCCGTTGACGCTCCCGAGGCCTACGAAGGGGCCCTGGAGGCCCGAAGATAGCGAAAAAGCTCCCGGCGCGGTGGCTTCACAACGCAAGGACGGCCAGGGACGAAGCCAGGACGAGGACAACATCGGGCGAGGATAGAACGAATCCCCTGAGATGCAGCGGTTCCAGAGGACGTGTTGGGCGCCGCGGCCTCCTCAGGGCGCACCGAGTAGCACTCTGGCAGCGCTCCGGAACGCTCTGGAGGGGGTGTTTATCCTCGTCTTGTAGCCCCGTCCGGCGTGCGTCGGATCGGGCCGCACCGTTACAGACCCAAAACCTCCTCGCGCCGTGAAGAAATCACGACGGGAGGCTCTTCTGCATTTTCGGGCTCTTGGGGCCCTTCCCAGGCCTCGGGACCGTCAAACAGAGATTGAGGATGTGATCGTTTTTCCCCCAACCCTCCTTAATTGGGTATTCGTTTTGAATAGAGCACTGCGGTCTCCAGTCCTCCTCCTCCTCCTCCTCCTCCTCCTCCTCCTCCTCCTCCTCCTCCTCCTCCTCCTCCTCCTCTTCCTCCTCCTCCTCTTCCTCCTCCTCCTCCTCCTCCTTCTCCGCCTCCGCCTCCGCCTCCCGTCTCCTCCTCTTCCTCCTCCTCCACCTCCTCCTCATCATCCTCCCGTCTCCCGTCTCCCGCTCCCCTCTTGTCTCCTCTTGCTTTGTGCGGATCTCGCCATCCCTGGGGGGCTGCGATCTGCGACACTGTCGCCACTTTCGAGAGCTGCTGGGCCGTCCCTGGGGGGCTGCGATCTGCGACACTGTCGCCACTTTCGAGGGCTGCTGGTGGGTCCTGCGGACTGAGGCACCGCGGGGATCTGAGCGAGACCTCGCCGCCTCTGGGGGGCTGCGATCTGCGACACTGTCGCCTCTTCCGAGGGCTGCTGGTGGGTCCTGCGGACTGAGGCGCCGCGGGGATCTGAGCGAGACCTCGCCGTCCTTGGGGGCTGCGATCTGCGACACTGTCGCCACTTTCGAGGCTGCTGGTGAGTCCTGCGGACTGAGGCACCGCGGAGATCTGAGCGAGACCTCGCCGTCCCTGGGGGGCTGCGATCTGCGACACTGTCGCCACTTTCGAGGGCTGCTAGTGGGTCCTGCGGACTGCGGCACCGCGGAGATCTGAGCGAGACCTCGCCGTCCCTGGGGGGCTGCGATCTGCGACACTGCCGCCACTTCCGAGGGCTGCTGGTGGATCCTGCGGACTGCGGCACCGCGGGGATCTGAGCGAGACCTCGCCGTCCCTGGGGGGCTGCGATGTGCGACACTGTCGCCACTTTCGAGGGCTGCTGGTAGGTCCTGCGGACTGCGGCACCGCGGGGATCTGAGCGAGACCTCGCCGTCCCTGGGGGGCTGCGATCTGCGACACTGCCGCCACTTCCGAGGGCTGCTGGTGGGTCCTGCGGACTGCGGCGCCGCGGGGATCTGAGCGAGACCTCGCCGTCTCTGGGGGGCTGCGATCTGCGACACTGTCGCCACTTTCGAGGGCTGCTGGTGGGTCCTGCGGACTGAGGGGGATCTGAGCGAGACCTCGCCGTCCCTGGGGGGCTGCGATCTGCGACACTGTCGCCACTTTCGAGGGCTGCTGGTGGGTCCTGCGGACTGAGGCACCGCGGGGACCTGAGCGAGACCTCGCCGTCCCTGGAGGGGGGGGGCTGCGGTAGTAATCACTACGACGCCCTTATATCTTGATCGGGGGCCTGCGAGCCTTCCGATTGCGGTTCGCAAAATCACATGCGTCCATGTTACGTCATCGCCCCCGTGGTCGGAATCCTGATGCACTTATGCCCCGCATTGCGCAAGGGTTGGGTATGTTGCCAGGGTAGTTATTCATTGTTTTGCCGATCGGCGCGGGCCCTCGCACCCCCCCCATCCCCCCCCCATGGAGTAGATCTTGGCAGTTTATGGCGCTTGTTTCAGGCAGGTGGAGTCTCCCCCATAAGACGCACGGTTCCAAACAGGCGCACTAAGCAGAGGTCCTGAACCAGAGCCCCCCCTTCTGCTCAATGTCGAAACGCCGAATAAAAAACGCTCACGATCAGAGACTGGTCCCAGGGAAGGGGTCCTGACTTCAGGGGGCCACGCAGAATCGCAACGTCGGGGGCCTGGGTTCTCGGGCACATGCTCGCGCCCTTGCAGACGTCACGACGGAGGGCTTTTGTGCCCGCGCTCGGCCACCATGGGGGCCCTCGCCGGGCCCCGTGGCCATCCCAAAAGTGATGATTTTTGATTCGTTGTTTTGCCAATCGGCGCCAGCCCTCGCCCCCCCCCCCTCCCCCTCCCATGGAGTAGATCTTGGCTTTTTGGGGGCCTATTTCGAGCAGGTGGGGTCCCTCCCACATCGGCCGCACTGCTGCAAACAGTCGCACTAAGCAGAGGTCCGGAGCCAGACCCCCGCCCCCTCCTTCCGCCCAATGTGCAACGCCGATAAAAAAACGATCACAAACGTTATCTGGGATGGAACACCGGCCTGGTCGGGACTTCCGGGGGCCCCGTGCCAAAAAGATCAGGACCTGGGTCCCAGACATGCAACTCACGACGGAGGGCTTGTGCCCGCGTTCGGCCACCTGGGGGCCCTCGCCGGGCCCCGGGACCGTTCGAAGAAGCGGCAGGACGCTCGGGGCGCGGAGTGGGCCCGGGCGCCGCGATTTTCCCGCACATGGGCGGTGTCGCTCGATCCGGCCGGAGAAGTGCCGCAGGAGAGCGGGGTCTATAGGGCACCCAGCCTGATCTTTGGAGGTGTCACATTTGTTTCGCGACGTCGAGTCTCAACGTACGAGGCAGGACGCATTCCGATCCGATCGATCCGCTTCGACGTCTGCTTCGGCCAGCTCGATCCGACTCGATAGCGTTTTCTGCTGGCGATATGATGCGGGCTGGCACTTGCCTGGCGCTGCCGTGCATCTTGATGCAGCCCATCCGATTCGATTTCGTCTCCCCAGACCCCCGACGTCGTGATTTACGTCACAGCGTCGACCCCCAGAGGTCTGGACCCCTTCCCCGGGACCGGTTTTTCATCCCGAGCTGTTTTTGCTGATGCTCCCGAGGCCCGGGAGGGCCGAAAATAGCGAAGAACCTCCCGTCGCGTTTTTTGGTTACCACGACGCGAGGAGGTCTGGGTGCGTGCCGACGCGGCCCGATCCGACGTGCGCCGGACGGGGCTACAGGACGAGGATGAATATTCGACGACACGTAAGGGTGGCCTTTCGCCAGAGTGACCGTCTGGTGCGGGCCCACAGGGGTCCCCCGATCGCCGAGCGCGATGCGGCAGTGACGTCTTGCGCGCTCGTGTGTGGTGCCCCCGCGGCCCCCAAAACGCCGCGCACCAGAGGTCACTCTTACTACCCTGGGTCACTCTTGCGTGTAGCCGAAATACAGGCCTCGGCAAAAATATAGCGAACACTCATGACACACTCATCTGCCAACGCCCTCCCCCTCCCCCCAGAGTGCTCAAAGTTGGTGGTGGGTCTGATGAGCTGCACCTCGATCCGCAGCCTCCTCCGCGCGTGCCAGCTTTGAGTCTTGGTTGGGGGGCGGGGGCCTCTACCGTATCTCTTCCCAGAGCGCTCCCCCAGCGCTCCCCGAGGAGCGCTGCTCGGTAACTATACGCTCCGGGGAGGCCGCGCCCCTGGCACGTCCTCCGGAGCCGCGGGATCTCAGAGGTCCCCCCTTCTATGGAGGGTTTCTCCGCAGGGCTTAGGCGACCCGTCCTCCTCCTCTCCCCTCCTCCCTCCTCCTCCTCCGCCTCCTCTTCCTCCTCCTCCTCCTCCTCCACAATTACTCAATATGAATATACTCTCCCTCTTCCCCTGATGGCGTCCGGGTGATAGCCGCGCACCCTCCGCGCACTGTTTTTTTACACACAGGATGCCCGAAAAATCCCGGGAAACGACTCTCGCTTGCGCCGGCACGGCGTCATTTTTTCTCAAAATGCTGCTCTCGCGCCGGCGTCATTTTTTCCCAAAATGCTGCTCTCGTTGAGGCGCCGGCCTCATTTCTGCTCCCGAATCCTTCCCCTGATGGCGTCCGGGTGATAGCCGCGCACCCTCCGCGTATTGCTTTTTACACAGGATGCCCGAAAAATCCCGGGAAACGACTCTCGCTGAGGCGCCGGCGTCATTTTTTCTCAAAATGCTGCTCTCGTTGAGGCGCCGGCCTCATTTCTGCTCCCGAGTCGTTCCGAATCGTGCTCCCGCTGCAGCGTGGGCCTCATTTTCGGATCGGTGTTTGGCCTCCGTCGTTCAGGATGGCGTTCTCGCCCCAGCGCGGGCCTCTTTCTCGCGCGCCCATCCGCCCGCCACCACCGCGCCGCACCGCCACCACCACCACCACCACCACCAACCACCACCACCACCACCACAACCACCACCAGCACCAGCACCAGTACCAACACCACCACCACCACCACCACCACCACCACCACACACCACCACCACCACCACCCACCACCACCACCACACCACCACCACCACCACCACCACCACCACCACCACCACCACCACCACCACGACAACCACGCACACACGCACGCACGCACGCACGTGCACCACCACCCACTACGCACGCGCGCGCGGAGCCACAGGTCCGCTACGACACGCGTCCGCGGATAGAGAAAATCAGCGCCATGGTAAGGGATGGGAGGGAGGGGTAGGACGTCAGATATGACGCGAGCGCACCTAGCTTGTCCTCCTCCCCTCCCCCCTCCTCCCCTCCTCCTCCTCCTCCCCCTCCTCCTCCTCCTCCTCCTCGTCCTCCTCCTCCTCCTCCTCCTCCTCCTCCTCCTCCTCATCCTCATCCTCCTCCTCCTCCTCCTCATCCTCCTCGGGTTGCCCACGGCCCCCGGGGAAACCGTGCACCCTTCTATCCTCACCCGATGTTATCCTCGTCCTGGCTTCGTCCCAAGCCCCCCTCGCGTTGTGCAAAAATCACGACGGGAGCTTTTTCGGTGCTTTCGGTCTCCCGGAGCCCTTCCCAGGCCTCGGGAGCGTCAAAAGACGGCTCGAGACGTCCTCCGGAGCCGCTAGATCTCAGAGGTCCCCCGTGCTATCCTCACCCAATTTTTGTCGGTGCACGCCGTGGTTGAACGCGCTCAACCAGCGTGCGCTCAACCAGAGCGTGCGCTCAATTGTGCGCACTCAATCGCTCACGCTTAAGCGCAGGGCCACTCACGGTTAAGAGTTGCGCTCTCTGTCATCAGCCGACGTTATCTTCGTCCCAGAGGCAACAATTACCGCACACTCCCCCTCCCGCCAAAACTCAAAGTTGGCACGCGCGGAGGCGACTGCGGTCGAAGTGTCAGTGCAACTCGTCAAACCCGCCGCCAATTCGGAACATCGGGGGGAGGAGGAGGGGAGGGCGTTCACAGATGAATGTGGCAGGAGTGTTCGCTATGTTTTCCGAGGCACCTGTAGGTGCGTTCCGATTCGATCCAATGTTTCTTGTTCGATGCTGTCGGGGCTGGACAGAACCCCCACCCCGACACGTCGATAAACCTCCCGTGCGAACTCTCGTCGCAGACATCTCGATACTCGAGACTGGCACTGTGGGTTATTCTCCCGGTCGAAGTATCTACATTCTGCCTCTGAGAGTGGCCTGCAGCTCGAGCCATCTTCCAAAAACCTCCTGGAGGCCTGGACCCCTTTCCGGTGACGGTTTCCTTCACCCCGAGCCGTTCCGTGGACGGCCCCGAGGCCCCGAGAGGGCCCCCGGAGGCCGAGAATTCCGCAAAAGACCTCCCGTCGCGAGCGTTGCCCGAGGCGAGGAGGCCTGGGCACGTGCCGATGCGATCCCCCTGTCGGCGGTGGCCCGGCCGTGGCCGCCGCCGCGCCAGGCGGCCGCGGAGGCGCTGCTGCTGTGCGGCGCGGGCGCGCCGCAGGAGCTCCTGGCGGGGCCGCCGCCGAGGCCCAGGAGCGCGGGGAGGAGGAGGAGGAACGAGGAGGAGGAGGAGGAGGAGGAGGAGGAGGAGGAGGAGGAACGAGAGGAGGACGAAAAGAAGAAGGAGCCTGAAGTAATTAGGAGGAGGAGCGAGGAGGAGGAGGAGCGAGGAGGAGGAGGAGGAGGAGGACGAAAAGAAGAAGGAGCCTGAAGTAGGAGGAGGAGCGAGGAGGAGCGAGAAGGAGGAGGAGCGAGAAGGAGGAGGAGGAGGAGGAGCGAGGAGGAGCGAGAAGGAGGAGGAGGAGGAGGAGAAGCGCGGAGGAGGAACAGCCCCGACGTGCTCTTGGCGCCGCCGGGGCGGGGGCGGCGTGTTCTTTCTCGGCGAGGGGCCCTCGAGGGTCGGGTGAGAGGAAGAGAGGCACCCATACACCTTGAAGTCGGGCCTGTCCCTCGACAGGGGAATAGCCAAAAGTAGTCCAATGATCGTCGGGGGGCTATTTTTGGGAGTATTTTTTGATCACTTTGGAATATGTTTTTGATATTGTTTATTCTTCGTCGAAGATCCCCCTTTAGGGGGACACGCCCGACTTAACCATACCTCTGCCCGAGCCTCGTTCTCCCCGTGCTGGGCCTCCCGGGAGGCGCCCTCGCCGCCACCGCTGGAAGCGCCTCGAAAGATCCGGGTCCGAGCGCACCCCGGGAGAGGTCCCAAACCATCCTGGTCCGATGGTCCGAACGCACCCCGGGAAGGGTCCGGAGAGCGGCTTTGGACGCCCGACATGGGTACGGATAGAATGGGTACAATGCCCAACAGCAGTTCCTGGTCATTCTGAACAGGACTCGCTGTCCGCGCCGCCGCGGCCTGTGTCCACTCGAGACCGAAGGCCGCCTGCCCAACAGCGGCCGCTGTTGGTTCGGGACAACATTCGCCGTTGGGCATTTTGTGCCCATCGTTTCCGTGCCCACTTCGGGCGTCCAAAGCGGCGGCATCGGTACCTTCCTGGTCTCCCCCGAGGGGGCCTCCTCTGGGCTTTCCTGCGACGAGACGCGCGCGCGCGCGAGGTCGAGGGAAGTGGCGTCCGAGCGGCGGCGCGGCGCGCGCGCCGTGGATGCGCCACGGCGGGCGGCGTCTGGGGCCGAGGCCGGGCTCTTCGGGGGGCCCTCGCAGGGCCGCCGGGGGCCGTCGGCAAGCAGCGAGCAGTGGCGGGGCGGCCTGGCTCGCCTGTAGCCCTGCCGAGCAATGCTCTGAGAGCCTCTTGTGGCTCCCGCGAGGTGTTCTCGGAACGTGTCTGGCCGGGACTGCCCTGTTTTGGCACATCGGGCTGGTGCTCCAAGAGCTCTGCTGCCGTCCGTGGAACATCTTTGGGGGTCTTAGAACATGTCGTGGTAGGGCTATAGGAATGTCGTGGTAGAGCATGTCGTGGCGAGATGTTATCAGAACGTGTCTGGCTGGGACTGCACTGTTTGAGCACCTCGGGCGGATGTTCCAAGGACTCTGCTGCTGTTCTGAGAGCACGCCTGGGGGTCTGAGAGAACATTTCGCGGTAGGACTATAGGACTGCCGGGAGACGTTCCCAGCACAGGTCTGGCTGGGACTGCCCTGTTTTGGCACAGCGGGCGGATGTTCCAAGGACTCTGCCGCCGTTCTGGGAACAGGTCTGGGGGTCTTGGAGAACATGTCGCGGCAGGGCTATAGGACTGCCGGGAGATGTTCCCAGCACAGGTCTGGCTGGGACTGCCCTGTTCTGGCACAGCGGGCGGATGTCCCAAGGACTCTGCTGCTGCCCGTGGAACATGTCTGGGGGTCTTAGAACATGTCGCGGGGTCCAAGAACTCTTAGAACACATCGGGCTGGTGTTCCGAGAACTCCGCTGCTGTCCGTAGAACAGGTTTGGGGGTCTTAGAGAACATGTCGCGGCAGGGCTATAGGCATGCCGGGGCGGTCGATCCCTGCTCAAAACAGCAAGGGCGCCGCCGCAGGGGGGGGGGGGGGGGGCCGCGGCGGAGGCCCCGGGAGCTCGGGGGGAGGGCAGTGGCCCGGGCATGCAGGAGGGAAAAAAACACACACAGGCACAATTGATCGGCGATTCCCCAGAAAACATGGGGAAATATGGGGAGTGGGGGGGAAGAGAAGAACCCAGAAACTATAGGAAAGTATAGGGGAATATTTTTATGTGTGTGTATTTGTTTGCGTGTCCCAGGGCCCCTTCAGCCATGCTCGCATCGTGGACGCCTCGGCGGCGGGCCCAGGGGTGAAGTGTCAGGTCGGGCATGTCCCTCTGCAGGGGGGAGCTTGAGAGAGAATCGAAACATAGTCGGGGGACGAAGTTTCTGCTGTCTGTGGCTATTTCGGAGCGTGTGTGAAAAGTGTGGAATTGCCTTCCGGAGCCCGCCTGCAGGAAAACATCCCCGACCTGAGTGAAGTGAGGAGGGGCGGGCCTCCTCAGGGTGGCTCGGGAGTCGCCCAGCCTTCTGAGAAGTGTTCCGTAGGCTCTCCCCACAGACACGGGCCGTCTCTTTGATCTGGAAGGCGCGAGGGCCTCTGAGAAGTCCCGCGGCCTTCCGAGAAGGCCTTCTCCCGCTCACTTCCCCCCTCGCTCGCCGCCGGACAGGTCGCGACGGGCGGTGTTCGGCCGATCTCGCAGGGCCGTCGCGGGACCCCCAGAGACCGTCAGCAGGGCCGTCGCGGGGCCTCCAGAGACCGTCAGCAAGACCCGGGGGAAGGGTCGGGGCTGCAGGCGGGGGACCTTGGAAGTACAGTCGAGGCGCTGAAGAAGGAACCCTTTTCGTTGGGAGGGGCTCGGTGTTCCTTGATTGTTTCACAGCTTGCCTCAGGTTTTCTTTATGTTTTCGATGGGAAATCGAAGCTTGACTTGTGGAAAAAAGGGGCCTCCTTCCTGATTTAGGGTTCCTTAGGTCAACGCCCCGACTGTACTGAAACGGATTCGGCCCCGTCCGAGGCCAAGACAAAGATTGACCAGCCGGCGGCGAGCGAGGGGAGGAAAATGAGGAGGAGAAGGCCTTCTCAGGAGGCAGCGGGACTTCTCAGAAGCCCTCGCGCCTTCTGAGAAGTTTTTGGCGTTTTCGGGGAATGCGTGGGAAACTTCTCAGAAGGCCGGGGGACGTCCGAGCTTTCTGAGAAGGTCAGCCCCTTCTCACTTCCCCACCTGGCGCGTCGCCTAACCAGGACATTGGCAAATCAGGAGAACGACACACTTTGCTGAAAAGTCACAGTTTGGTCGTCCACTGCATGTTTTTATTGTTGCTGCACTTGGTCGTCCATAGTGCGTCTTCGGCTGCTGCACTGCAGGAGTCGTGTCTTTGCCCGGGTCCAGGAGAGGTTTTGCAGGCTGTCATGGCGTTTGTCTGGGTTTATTCCAGGAATGTTGCAGCGCAGTTTTCTGTCCGTGCCGCCCTCTTGTGCAGTGCAGTTTTCTGTTCGTGCCGCCGTCGGGAAAAATTAGTTTCGCGGTATGGTGGACGCTCCAGTCTAGCGCGTCTGGGTTTAATGGGCGTTGACGGGTGCCTGGGAAGGTACCGATACCACTGCTCTTGCCTCGTTTTCTCCTTTTTGGGCCTCCTGGGCGGCCCTCGTCGCCACAGCTAGGTGCATCTCGAGATTCTGGTCGAAACGCACCCCGGGATAGGTCCAGGAAGTGGCGGCATTGGTACTTCCAGACATCCGATACTTGGATTTTGTCAGTGCAAAGTCTTTCGGGACGATCGCATGGATACGGAAAGATTGGGCACAAAGACCGACAGCAGTTCCTGTTCGTTTTGAACCGGACTCGCTGTCGGTATCGCCGCGGCCTGTGTTCATGTGAGACAGAGGGCCGCCCGCCCAACAGCGGCCGCTGTAGGTTTTGGACAACATTTGTTGTTCCCGAAGGAAGAAAAAGGCATTAACAAAAACTGTTGGCGCTCCGCGCCAAAAGCTTATGTTTATGCCGCTGCTTCTTCTTATTATTCTTATTATTATTATTCTGCTTCTCAGTATTATTATTATTATTTTTAATATTAGTATTGTTATTAATAATAATAATAGTATTATTATTAGTATTATTATTATTAGTATTGTTAATACTATCAGTAATAATAATATTATTAGTGGTATTCTTATTATTGTTATTCTTCTTCTTATCATTATTAATATTATTATTATTATTATATGTTCGGCATTGTACCCATTTGTTTCGTACCCATTGAGGGCGTCCAAAGATTCTGAGAAGTCCACATCATTTCCCCAGGGCCGGTTCTGCATCCTGACTTGTCTTTGACGATCCCGTGGGCCCAGCGAGGGGCCCTTTCCGGAGTGTGCAAAAAACTCCAGCCGTCGTGCTTTGTCCACGGCGCGAGCATGCCTGCGCTGTCGGGCCCCAGACATGATCGCGTCGCTCACAAACAGCAGGACGGGCGGCTCTAGGCCATTTTCGGCCCCTGGGGGCCCTCGCTGGCCCCCAGGACCGTCACCAAAAACGGCGCAGGAGGAAAAGCTGGCCCCACAGTGCCGTGACGAAAGTTTCTTTCAATCTGCCTTTTGGAATGACGCGCTCGTGCGGAGTAGTTCGGAGCAGTTTTACTAAAACTACTCCGCGCGCAATCGCATCCCGCTCGATAATTTATATTGTCTGGCGCGGAGTAGTTTCCGATCCCGTTTTGGGGTAATAGAGTAGTTATTAACGTCTCCGGGATCGGAAACTACTCCGCCGAATGGCCCCAGCACCATGTCGCGTTAGGAATCTCGAGGGGGATGGGATCTTCATCGTGGGGCATCGCAGCTCGGCTCTCCAGCGGCCGTGCGGGACTAGCCGCAGGCACCCCCGGAGCGCCCTCGGCAGGGTACGCGCCCCGAGGCTGGAGAGCCGCCGAGGAGCAGCGAGCACATCCCAGAACAGCGGGCCTCGAACCGCGGCATCCGGTGTCGGCGGCGCGCGGAGGGGGGTGGGGGGAAGGGGGGAAGGCTTCTTAGTAGCACCCCTGCTTCTTAGAAGGCGCGGGCCTTGTCTGTAGATGTAAGGCCCGCGGTTTCCAAGAAGCGGCCTCCTTCTAAGAAGCCCCCTCTGCGCGCCGCCAACGATGTCTGCGTTCAGGGTGGAGGGTTCCGCCTCAGACGAGTAGGGCGGATACTTCCGAAAATGTATGGCGGAGTCAGCGATCGTAAAGTAGGGCGGGCATCAGCATCACAGAAGCCTGGAAAGCAGTGTGGGCATTTCCGCCCTGCTTCGAACTTGGCCAACGTGCGGCTGATCCGAAGTCAGGGGTCTCTGAGATCCGACGTCACGAAAAAATGCATTACTGTCGGACCGAGGTATAAGATCGAGATCGGTTCGGGGAGGGTACCCTAAGGTTCTTCGTGCTTGTTGGGTGTTCTTGTGCATCCTGGGGGAGGGCACCCTCGAATGTTCTTCAGTCTGGCCTGCGGAGGGTATCGTGTTCTTGAAGGGCGTTCTTTTGTCCTAGGTCCTGCCGTATCGCGACGAATCACAACCTGGCCCCGAGACCCCGTCTTCCTGCCGCACTTTTCGCGCCGGATCTGCCTGTGATAGCCCCCGGGGCCGAAGCCGAGCGAAGAAACCGCCCAGTGCGCAAGAATCTCGGCACGCCCGGATCTCAGAGCCCACACCGCCCCCCGAGCGGCGTGCTTCCGCATCGAACCCAGACAATGGGATGTCCTGATTTTTCATCACGGGGTTCCCGGTAGTCCCGCCCCTTCCCCTTGATGATCCTATTAGGAGGAAGGCGAAGCCTTTCGGATAATGGGCGAAGCTTTATTCATCAGGGGCACAAACAGTATTGATTGCCGGTGCCTACAGAGCTGGCATTGGTCCGCAGGCGGCCTTGCCCGGCTTCGTCGGCGCCTAGTCTCCAGGAGGCTCCTTCCCTGGTGGGCTGGGGGTACACGCGCCCCCTTGATGCTAGGGAAACGCATCGACCCACGTCGTGAGATGGCCGGTTTTCCATCCCAAATCGTTTCTTGGACGGTCCCGGGGCCCGTCGAGGGCCCCCCAAGTGGCCGAGCACGGGCAGAAGCCCTCCGTCGTGATTTCTGTAGCGACGCGCGCATGTCCGGGAATGCGTCCCCTGAGATCCGGCGCTGCAAAACAGATGCAGCCTCGACCGAACTCACCACCAGAGCCCCAGACCCGCGAGGCGCGCGGGTCCCAGACCCCCTCGCGCTGCGGAGAAATCACGGCGGGAGGCTTTTTTGTTAGATGCAGCCTCCGGGGGCCCCGAGGCCGGGCCCGGGGAGGGTCCCGAAACGGCTCGGGATGCAGAGCTGGTCCCCCCCCGGGGAGGGGTCCGGATCACGACGTCGGGGGTCTGGGGCTCGAGCCTGGCCAGGGGGCGCGGGGCTCGCGGGCCATCTCAGAGGAAGCTTGCCCGAATCGATTTCAAAAAAAGGCTCCGGGGAAGAAAGAGCGGCTTGGCACGAGCGGCGTCGATCGAAGAAGAACGCAAAGACGCCATAAACAGAAACTTTCGACGCTCCGCGCGGATGTCTTGGATTTGAGCCAGGCCCCCCTGGCGGCGCCTACCTGGCGCCGCCCCCGGCGCGCTCCGCGCGCCGGGGAGGGTCAGGCGCGGGTATCCCCGAAGTCCGCGCGGAGCGCCAAAAGTTTTGACTTGCGGCGTCGCTTCTTCTTCTCACCACCCACCAAGCCACCCCAACCCAACCCGAAGGCTCAGATTTACCCTCGATTTCCAGTGAGGGGGGGGGGTCGGGAAACATCGAGAAAAAACACGTGGAACCCTTAATTACCCCCCCATCCCGAAATTCGGGCCTTCGGGTTGGCTTGGGGTGCTCTGGCAGGTAGTCACCTGCTAGGCTTGGCACCAGCGGCGACGAGGCTGCGCACGCTCGGGCTCCGAGGGCCGTGGCGCTCCCCGAGGAGCGGCCGCTGGGGCCACGCCCGCGGCGCGGGCGCGCCGGAGGCCCGGGCCGGCGGCGGCGCGGGCGGCGGCGGGGCGCTGGCCCAGGAGGGCCGGAGAGCGGGGTGGGTGCCAGGGGAGGGTCGGGTTCGAGCAGGGCCCAGTCGGGCCCGTCCCGCTGCAGGAGGAATGTTCCAAGATAGTTTTTCGGAAATAGCATGGGGACTATTCTTAAGACCTATGTTTTGACCAGTTTGGAGCATTTTTGTTAGTATTTGTTGTTTGTCGTCGAAAATCCCCCCTGTAGGGGGGCACGCCCGACTTGAGAGAGTAGGGGGTGGGCTGCTTGTGGGCCCCACGACCCGGACAGCAGGGCGTCGGCACGACGTGCGGAGGCCTCTCCGGAGGAGCTCTGGAAGCTCCTGGAAAGAGAGCTTCCAAGGGAGCTTCTGGGGAGCTGCCGGGCAGGCGAGTTGGGAGACGCTTAGAAGAAAGGCCTGCCAGAACGCGCCGCCGGTTCAAACAAGCCCCGCTGGGTCTGCCGGAAACCAGGACGAGCGCTGGGGCGAATTACCCTGCAGCTCCAGCTTCTCAATATGAAACCCTCCTAGCTCTCAAGAGCTATCCGGGAACGTAATTGATCTACCCCGAGATTGTGTTTCCCCGTAGGATCTTCAAAACATACATAGAGTGCCACGTAGATCGTAGCATCCTCTGTAGTTCTTCGGGGCATGATACGCATTTCTCGTAGATCTCACTGGAATATCAATTCTGGGGTAAATAAATTGATTGTGTAGTAGATCTACTCGAAGGATCGGGAAAGGAGGGCACTGAAATCCTGGCGCCTCAATTCCCAACGATCCTGTGGTCATGGGTCCTCGTTTTGAAGAGACAGCGCCCCGCGTCTCACTCATCACTCCTGCTCCCCCTCCTCCCTTCTCTCATCCTCGCCGCTGCACTCCGCATATCACCATCATCCCCATTATCCTCCTCCTCCTCCTCCTCCTCCTCCTCCTCATCATCATCATCATCATCATCATCATCATCATCATCATCATCATCATCATCATCGTCATCGTCATCGTCATCGTCATCGTCATCATCGTCATCCTCATCATCATCATCGTCATCAGCAGCATCGTCATCATCATCATCGTCATCGTCGCCATCATGATCATCATCATCATCAACATCATCAGCATCATCATCAGCATCATCCCGATCGTCATCATCATCATCATCAGCATCATCATTACCCTCATCATCATCAGCAGCAGCATCATCATCATCCTCATCATCATCGTCATAATCATCATCATCATCATCATCATCATCAGCATCATCTTCATCATCATCATCATCATCATCATCATCAGCATCATCATCGTCGTGATCGGCATCGTCATCGTCACCCGCGTTTCGGCACACCCCTCACACGTTTCGTGGCCCCATAGGCAGCTTCACCCAAGGCCCCAGTGGCACCGTTCGCATGTGGGCGTCGCCCCCTTTTGCCCCATAGTTAGCTCCAGCTAAGGCCCCAGTGGCACCGTTCGCATGTGGGCGTCACCCCTGTTTTGGCACAGCCTTCACAGGCTTCGTGGCCCAATAGGCAGCTCCAGAAAAGGCCCCAGTGGCACCGTTCGCATATGGGCGTCACCCCCGTTTCTGCACGTTCCTCACACGCTTCGTGGCCCCATAGGGAGCTCCATCTCAGGCCCCAGAGACACCGTTCGCATGTGGGCGTCACTCCTGTTTCGGCACATTCCTCACACGTTTCGTGGCCCTGCCATAGGCAGCTCCACCTACGGCACCAGTGGAACCGTTCGCATGTGGGCGTCCCCCCGTTTCGGCATACCCGGCATACGCTTCGTGGGGCCCCAGTGGCACCGTTCGCACGTGAGCGTCACCCTCGTTTCTGCACATTCCTCACACATTTCGTGGCCCCAAAGGGAGCTTCAGCTAAGGCCCCAGTGGCACCGTTCGCATGTGGGTGACACCCCCGTGTCGGCACACCCCTCGCATAGCTCCTGGCCCCACAGGAAGCTCCACCTAAGGCCCAGTGGCGCAGCCCGAATGTGGGCGACTCTTTTTTTCTGGCGCACCCCTTACATGCTTCGTGGCCCCACATGGAGCTCGAGCTTAGGCCCCAGTGGCACCGTTCGCATGTGAGCGTCGCTCCCGTTTCGGTACACCACTTACACGCTTCGTGGCCCCATAGGCAGCCCTAGCTAAGGCCCAGCGGCACCGTTCGCATGTTGGCGTCACCCCCGTTTCGGCGCACCCCTCACATGGTTCGTGGCCCGATATGCAGCAACAGCTAAGGCCCAAGCGGCACCGTTCGCATGTGGGCGTCACCCCCGTTTCTGCACACCCCTCACACGCTTCGGGGCCCCATAGGCAGCTCCAGCTACGGCCCCATCGCCATCAGCACCGTCAGCAGCATCCTCCTCCTCCTCCTCCTCCTCCTCCTCCTCGTCATCATCATCATCATCATCATCATCATCATCATCATCATCATCATCATCATCATCATCCTCATCATCCTCATTATCCTCATTATCCTCATCATCATCCTCCGCATCATCATCAGCATCATCATCATCATCACCGTCATCAGCAGCATCGTCAGCATCACCGTCATCGTCACCATCAGCATCATCATTATCATCATCATCATCAGAATCATCATCATCACCATCATCATCAGCATCATCATCATCATCATCATCATCATCATCCTCATCATCATCATCATCATCATCCCGATCGTCATCATCATCAGCATCATCATTACCCTCATCACCATCAGCAGCATCATCATCAGCATGATCATCATCGTCGTGATCGGCATCGTCATCGTCATCGTCACCCGCGTTCCGGCACACCCCTCACCCCTCACACGTTTCGTGGCCCCATACGCAATTTCACCCAAGGCCCCAGTGGCACCGTTCGTATGTGGGCGTCACCCCCTTTTCCCCCGTAGGGAGCTCCAGCTAAGGCCCCAATGGCACCGTTCGCATGTGGGCGTCCCCCCGTTCGGGCATACCCGGCACACGCTTCGTGGCTCCATAGGCAGCTCCAACTCAGGCACCAGTGGCACCGTTCGCATGTGAGCGTCACCCCCGTTGTTGCACATTCCTCACACATTTCGTGGCCCCAAAGGGAGCTTCAGCTAAGGCACCAGTGGCACCGTTCGCATGTGGGCGACACCCCCGTGTCGGCACACCCCTCGCACAGTTCCTGGCCCCAGAGGAAGCTCCACCTAAGGCCCAGTGGCGCAGCCCGCATGTGGGCGACTCTCTTTTTTCTGGCACACCCCTCACATGCTTCGTGGCCCCACATGGAGCTCCACTTAAGGCCCCAGTGGCGCAGCCCACATTTGGGCGACTCCCGTTTCGGCACACATCGCACACACACACGCATACACACACTTTTCGTGGCTCCACAGGGAGCTCCACCGAAGGACCCAGCGGCATAGCCCATATGCGGGCGTTGCCCCATGGGGAGTTTCACTTCAGATCGTACTCACAATTGCGGTAGTGAGAACTGCATATGGTTGGGTTCTTCGCCAGGCTAATTTGTTCGATCCGGTCGGTTCCGTCTTGCTTCGGGCATCTTCGGGCCCTGGGAACCTTACAGATCGATCCAGTTCGAGAAATGGCGCAGAAAGGTAGGGTACAGGGCTACGGCCGTGATGTTTTACGATATTTGTTTCACGTCGTCGGATCTCATGGTCACGAAACCTGCTGCATGCAGCTGGTTTCGGCCCCGTCGCCAGGCCCATTCCTCGACACACCGGTGCCTCCCGGCGGTTGGGGGGCGCCGGGAAAGCTAGTTACGTGAGGTGATTCTCTACCCTACCCTTTGCTATCCTACCCTTTCGTCCGCCCGCCCCGAGAAGAGCAGACAGCGGCAGAATCATTGGGCGTTGGCCGAAATTTCGGTCGCTTCAGGTCAGAATGTAAACCAACGTGGGCCCCAGACAGCAAGCTATCGCACTGTGGATGTGCGAGCCACGTGGTGCAAGCGATGTGGTGTCCGCTATGTGGCGCAGCTGATGTTTGTAAGTAGTGAGTTGACAGCTCCACTTCTCGCGCAATCATCTCACCCTCCCACACGCAACTTGTTTGGCAAAACCCATGTGGCCACGACGGGGATGTGCTTGGCACTGGATGGGGCATCTCCGCGGCCACGCTGGCACGCGCAAGCTTGCGCGCAGAGCAACCAGCTGGCATGGCACAACTGATGCGGCCGCGATGCCGCTTGCCAGTAGGAACCTCCTGGCGCGTCTCAAAGGCCGCGCTGGCGCGCGGGCACTTCAGTACGGGTCGGTGACTCGGGCGGGCGCGGTATCATGATGATGTCGACAACGGTGACGACGATGATGATGGTGGAAATGGTGGTGGAAAGCATGATGATGATGATGATGATGATGGTGGATGGTGATGATGATGATGTTGGTGATGATGATGACGATGATGACGATGCGACGGCAAGGCCAACGACGGCGCCGATGTCAGTGACGACGATGACGGTGATGATGTCCATTTGTCCGTGTTGAAAGCGATTGACTGGTGATGGCGGCAGTGCCGGCGACTGACGATGACGATAACGGCGGTGATGCGATGGCGCTGATGAGGGTGATGGTGAGGATCTGCACGCGCAGAAACCCAAGAGACCTTGCAAATTTTGTGAAAATATATGGTGAAAAAAACATTTGCTGCGCCATATGTTTTGGCAGAGCTCGATATTGAACGTGTCGAAAATCAACCGTTTGGGGAGCATGTCAACACGCGCGCTTGGCGGCGCGCGCGTGTGGCGCGCATGGAGCACGGTGTTAATCAAGAGGCCGGCGCCGTTCCGCCGACCCCGTAGCAAAAATTCCACGATGAAGCTTTCGGAGGTCTTTGGGGGATTCTGCTAGTGTCTTTTTGAGGCCTCTTGGGAGCCTCTTGGTGCTTTTTGTGGATCTTGGGTGCCTGCTGGCGGTCCTGGGGCTTCACGGAATGGAAGGCTCGACATGTTAGTTCGACTTATCATTATTGGGCCCCTCTTGTGGCCATGTTGGGATTCCCCCGGGCCGTCTTGGGCGCCTGTGGGGCCGCGTT